CATTATGATTAATGTCGTTTGAATAACAAAGCTAAAGGAACAATTCCTGGACCCACACCGACCCCCACCTTGGCACTAATCCTGGCCACGGGATGCCTTTGTGGCCTCTTTACTGAAGCAAGTGGCAATCATGGAAAAAAAAAGACTTGTGTCCCTTCTTCCCTCCCAGGCACCTGGGATTCTCCTGCTGGTTCTACCTCTGCTACTTCTCACGTCACCTGGCTCTGTCCTCCAGGGCTTTGCTTCCAGACCCAGATCCTCAGGGTACTCACTGGTACTCACGGATACCGATTAAAATGGTGTCCTTCGCATTCTATTCCCTCTGGGTCTAAATTTCTGCTGTTTGCTCTGATAAAGCACTTCCTTCGAAGGCATAAAAGAATGATCCTAAATTATTTGGTTAAGTTTCTGGGAGGGTTAGCTTTTTTGTATAGGATGGGGGTGGGGCGGCTCTTCTTTTGAATCAGGCCATCTAAGTAAACCTCAGCCCTCGGTGAGCTGGAGATGCCACACAGAGACTGTTCCAACTCCTGCACACAGTGTTCTTTTTATACAAAGCAAAACAAAACAAAATAAAGCAAAACCCCCACAAAACAACCAACTAAGCCCAATGTCTCACTCTAAAGAAGGAACCCGATGAAGGGAGTATATCTTACACTGCTTCTCGGGATTTAAATACTTGGGTGAGACTTCTGTCTGGGAAAATGGTAGCAAGGAATTACCAAAGACTATAACGATCATTTCTCCCAGAATGTTGCACGCTCTGCAGATTGTACAAAGCAGTGAGTGGGTGAGGGAAAGGCACTTCCACTCCCAAGGGGAGGGGGAAATCAATAACACAGCAACCTCTGCAGGCAATCCTGGGAAAGGCCACTTTTAATCACTTTGTATTTGTGGATCGATTTTACTCACATGAGACACATTTAAAACATCTGTTAGGCACAGATTTATAAACAAACATGTAGCAGAAAAGATCACAAACCTGCTTGATGTTTCCCCTTGCTCTTTCCTTCAGGTGCATGCAGACAGAAGAGAAATGATGATAAACTGGTGAATACATTTATAGCACTTGATAATGGCCCACTTGGGGTTGGGGACATTAGTACCTTGAGTCATTCTTTTCAAGCGAGATCCATGGAAGCCATTTTAAAAATAATAAATGTGCCTAGCTTTTTTTTTTTTTTTTTAAACATATATTCTTTGTGGCCAAGACCAGGGATAGCACAGCATCTCCTTAGCCAAAACAATACTGCCTACATGTAATGAACAACAGCTGGAGTTATCCATGGCTAAGGAGAAGTGGTTCTGACCTGGTCAGCTCTAGGAGAAACTTAGAATGCTGCTGGTCACACTAGCTGTAGACCCTGAGTTGTAGACAGACTTTGGGTTCTTAGTCTGGACTCATGAATGTGTGACTTGTTCCTCAGTCACTTGTTAAGGCAGGTGCTATTTTCCTATTGTAATTCATACTTTATATTCATACTTTAAACAATAGGAAAACAGCACCTGCTAGGCACATAGGAAGTCGTTAGAACTCTTCCAGCCTTGTGCGGGGTGGTGTTCTTCATTACCGATTTGAGCAGACCCAGGTCAGTATGACATGGTGCAAATGACCATGGGTGGACACCCCACTTTCCTGTGGGTCTTGATTTTCTTATGAATAAGTTGAAGGCATTGGATTAGATAATATCTAAATTTTGACGTCTTAAGATACCACTGAGCATCCGTGGCACTTGATAAGTCCCTATAGCTTCACAAAATATGCGACTCATTCCCTAAAATAACGTTTACCTATGTTTCACCCTTTGTAGAGCTTCCATTACCTTTGAGAACAAAATCAAGGAAAATATGTTCCCTTTATGAATCCTTTTGTTATTAAAACAAAGTTTTAAAATAGCAATTGTGGAGATCTTAAAGGCAATGTAAGAGACAAGCCAGGCCAGAAAGGAGAGTAAAAAATTGCTGGCATATCCTTGGCAGGTCTGAGTGGGCGTGGCATGCCCCTTACCCCACCCCTCTCTCCTGACACCATTCTCACTCCTCTCTCCTATATCACTCCCTAGAAGAGGTGGTGGAGTCAAAGCATCCCATTGTATCTCTAAATTGTGGGGAACAAGAGCACGGTTGGTGCTTTTAAGTGATGATGATGAAGAAGAAGATGATGATAATGCTATTGGTAATATGATCACTTTGTTGACCACCTATTTAAAACTGTAGCCCCTAATGCTTCTTAAATTCCTTCCCTATTCTACTTTTTCTCTTTAGCACTCATCACCCTCTGGACCTATTAAATATTTTACTTATTTATTTTTATTGTCTCTTCCCAGCAACCCTTGAATATATACTCCTCAAGGTCCAAGATTGTAACCTGTTTGTTTTTCTCTATCACTGCTGCATACCTAGTGCCCAGAACAGTGCCTTGCACATCATAGGTATTCAATGAAGCCTTGTTGAATGAATGCATGAATGAATGAATAATCTCTCCCTTGGGAAGTTTCTAAGCCCTAAATGTTATGGGGAAATACACTATGTAAATAGAAAGAAATTTTGGTCTATTTCTTACTACATAGCATTTGTGCTCATAAGATACTTGGTTTTATAAATTTAAAAATACCCTCGAAGTCACTGTAAATTATTTACCTCACAAACCCACACACTTGATTAAAGCAGGTTTACTTTCTAAAACAGAGGTTCCGAACTTGGCTCCAGGGAGTTTATGACTACATTAAAATTGTAGGCAAAGTCTTAATTTTTTATGCAGTAAACATGTTTCTTGGGGAAGAGTGCATAATTACCATCCCATTCTCAGCAGCTTAACAAAGAAAAACAACAACAAAGATTAAGAACCACTGCAGTTTAGAACAATGAAGCATGGCTGGTGGGAGAGATGTTAGGACACCCAGGATCGCATGAACGTTGCTAGTGACTGCGGTGTCATGCTGGACAAATCTCTGTTTTCAGTAAGTGGGCTGAGTCTCTGGGGTGGGTGAGGGAGTGCAGGGAAGGGGACTGAGAGATGGTTGATAGTCACAGTGGAACAGGATAATAAAGGTGTTCCCCTAAATTCTCCTCTACCATGTCCCCACTTAAAACAGGAAAATATCAAAGAAGAAGAAAGAGAAATTATGTGAGTAAAATACGTCTATGCATTGGAAGAGTCTGACTCATTATTAAAGATTTTTCAGGCTTCAGAATGAGTTTTCTTCCAAAAACCATGGATGGAGTAAGCCAATCAATTACATGTGATACCAGACCACTCTCAGCCCCTAAAAACCGTCTTTTGGTTTCTCTGCTAGCCTTCCTATTATACATGTGTGAAGAAAAGAAATACAATTTTTATGTAATTCCAATTTTTTAATGCACACTCCCAAGGAATAGATAGCACAAGCGTTATATTCCTTTTTTCTTCCCTACTATAACTTTGAAAGAGTCCAGTACTCAATAAAGGGCACTTAGCTACAATTTAAGGTCTAAATGAAGAGGATTCTCATCCACACATTCACTCATCAGCATCCATGCTTCTGTCTTTGCTAAAGTCCCATCCCCTTTAAAATCCTGGCATTCTATGATTATCTCTTTCACAGGTGCTGACAGAGTTTTGATATCAACTTTTAGGAGACGTGCCCACGAGAGCTTAGAAATTATCTCGCCCAGCTCTTGCCCTTCACTTTGTGGATGGGAATAGTGAAGCCCATCGCAGGGCAGGGCAGGGCAAGGCAGGTAAGCCATATAGCAGATCCTGATAGATCTGTCCCCCTCTACAGGGAGTAGTCTGCTGCATCACAGAGGTCCTTTTGAGACTTCAATCACAGGGAACACTTCATGAAGGCTTCCCCAGCCATTTCTCTCTCACATCAGGAAAAAAGGAGTTTCTGAGACATGGTAGTTAGATGCCTTGAATCCTATGAAGTTACTTGGATGAAGGTTTTGTTGGATTATAAGGGAAATGGCTGATGCTCTAAAATACTAGCTCAGATAAGCAGTTTGATAATGTTTGAACAACCTGAGGAACTAACCGTTGTAACCAAGCTGGGTGACTCACAGAAAGCCTTTCCCTGGACTTACTGACTTTGGTTGTTTCGGTGAAGAGTTATTTAATTAGATGGTGGTTATGATTTAATGTGCGCTCTGCCAGTGGAACTGGAGTCCAGGATTCCAGGACTAAAGATTGTTTTTGAAAATTAAACTTCACTGTGGTAACCATCAGGACTGTTCATCAGTTTTCAGGTTCTCCTCTCTTTCCAGGTGCGTGGTAGGACTGCCCTCCCTGTCCTCCTGGAGTTTAGGCATGGCTAGGTGACTTGCTTTGGCCAATGAAATGTGAATGTCAGTAATAGTATTTAAAATTTTTGAATGCTAATTCCAAATTTTAATTTGTTAGGTCCCATTGCTTCATTGTAAACTGTAATTATACTAGGATTCCAACTCTTCTCTTATTTTGCTATTAATGTTAGTTTGATCTGCAAGTGAAAGCTGGAGAGCCAATGGGATCTAGATGAGAAATGACTTTGCGGAACTTCAATGTGCAAAGATATATTGCTTTCAAAGCACTCCTTGTTTGGGGTCAGGTGATGGATGGAGTTTAAACAACCATTATTTTTCAAAACTAGTGGTGCTTACCTTTAGAATTCTGAAGGGTTTTATAAAATGAGATATTAGAAAATAATACCATGAAATAGTAGAAATAAATCTCTATGAAGTTTAAATTCTTTTAATCTTTAAAACACATCTATGGACGGTGAGGAATGATACTGGGTCAATTGAGTTTTGTGCCAGAGTTGTTACTAAAAAGGTTTGAAAGAGAAGCAGAGAATAAGACAGGCCCCAAATTGACACTGAGTGTGCACGTGCATGTGTATGTATTTGCGTGTATGTGTGTGTATGTATGTATGTGTGTGTTTGTGTGAGTGTTTGTGTGTGTGTGTATGTGTGTGTGTATGGTTTGTTCTGCAAATTTGAAGAGACTCGACTACAGCACCAGCTGTCATACTGATACCTACTTGGTGGGGCTGCAGGTGTGCAGGGCCTTCAAATGCGGCTTCCAGGTGGCAATGGAAACAGATTTTTCATCAGCTGCATAACTACGCCAAACACACTGCATGCAATGTACGTGGGAACATGAAAAAGAAAAAGAAAAGAGAGAAGAAGATAGAATGAAATAAAGGGCTATTATTAAGTTAATACACATGAAGGATCTTTAGCCCTGAATAATATCCAAAGGGGTGACGACTTCCTTGGCATTTTCAGCTGGCTGTTACACATATTCTGCCACGTCTGCAGGATTGCTTTTCAAAACAACTCACACCAAAGAACAAGCATACTAAGAAGTCTACCATGAAGTAACTTTTGAATTAGTTAGGGAAAACTATGACATTATCTGAGGTGAACTACCTGAGCGTGAACATGCATTGCGGGACCCAACCGCACATCTTTAGTCACTACTTGATAAGATGGAGGCAAACGACTACTAGAAACTCACAATGCAAGTAGTAAACTAGGTAGTAAATTAATGACCACCAGAGTACGCTAAAATGATTTAGTGAAATTTCATGAAGTTGAAATGTGCCAACACTAATAATGCTAAAAATGAAGACAGTGTTAAACAAGATAGAGGACAATGTATTTTCTAGGAATGTACTTGGAAAGCACTTAAGGATTTAATGTCATGATCTAAGAATACACTTGCAGCTCCTTGATATAAACACAACTCTGTCTACTTCACATAATTCGGGAGTGAGAACCTTTTTTCTGCCAAGGGCCATTTGGGTATCTATAACATTGTTTGCAGTCCATACAAAATTATCAACTTAAAAATTAGCTTGCTATATTTGATCAAACATATAACTCACCCCTAATGCCTTGGCAGGGCCAGATCAAATGATTTTGTGGCCTCAGATGGCCTGCAGGCTGGACGTTCCCCACTCTGATATAATTATACCTGACATATATAATATGAAGTATTTCCATGTAAAATCCTTGCCAAGTATGAATTAAGACCTACTATTTTATGGTTGAGAAAATAAAGGCTCAGATAAAATAAGATGTTTACAAGGATTGGTAGGGTTGACATTATCTCCAGTGACTGGCTCTTGCTTTGAGAATCCCTCATGGTCCTTTGCTGATTGTTTGATGACTGTTGGCAAAGCTTCCCTCTGAAACTGTCCATTGCCTGAATGTACTATCCATATAGACTTTGGCAAATTTCTTTCTTTGTAATAAATCCGAAAACATGTCTAAAGACCAAGTGCTTCCTCAAAAATCCTGAGAGAAAACTTTTCATTATAATTCATAAATCAAAGCACTCTATTTTAAGTAGCAAATTTGTTTAAACAAGTTATATTCCTACTCTATAACCACTATTCATGATTGTAAAAACTACAATGAAGAAAACAGCTACTTAATAATGTTCCTTTTCCTGAGTATCATTAAAGCAATGTGTGCTGAATAAAAAATTAAAAATTAACACAACTACTTTGGAAAGTTGTCTGGCTATTATCTAGCAAAGCTGAACACATACAGACCCTCTGACATAGCTACACACTTCTGTATATATACTCAACAAGTATGTTTATACCTGTTCATTAATATACGTGCTATCCCACTGAAAACATTACACTTCATAGACCTGCTCAAATACCTATCAACAGTAGAATAAAGAGATACGCTGTGAATATTAACATAATGGAATAGTACACAGTTGGAGTACTCTAGCACTACATTCTAGAATATGGATGACCTTTACATGAATAATGATGAGTGAGAGAAACAAGACACAAAAGAGTACATGCTGTGTGATTCCATTTCCATAAAGTACAAAAACCAAAACTCCTCAAGAAAACCAATTTTAAAAGGCAGCACAATGGGTACCCTTGGGAACAGTGATTGAGAAAGGGTACAGAAAGGTCATATTCTGTTTCATTAACTGGGTGCTGCTTACACACACAGGAGTGCTCAGTTCTCTTAGGATATGTGCTCTTTTCTGTATGCACATTATACTTCAGTAAAATGTTCAAGAAGTGATATTAAAAACTAAAATATATGGGACCTGAGGGTTTTTTAATATTATTAAGGAAGGTTTAAGTAATTGAAGCAGGGTTCCTTGCCTAGAGTCTTGCTTCCATGGCTCATGTTGATTTATCCTAAAATCTGTAAAAACATATGCTAAGCATCCTGACATCTTATAGAGAACAAAGCAATTATTGTTGTGACAATGTTAGTTTTTGCAATTATTGCACAAACACGATTTACACAGTGGTCTAAAGGAATCAATGAAAACCCATGGATTTATTATTATAGCTTCCTCTGTAGTGAAGCCCAGAGAACCTCCCGTACCACGACGGCCTAGATGGCTGCTTTAATTAAACAATCTTCATATAAGGCACCATATATACATACATAGTTTGAAAGCAAGATTCATGTAAAACTGGAAGTACACAGCAGGTCTGTGCATGATCAAACACCAGTGAAAAACCCCCCACAACTATACAACAAAAAAATGGGACCAAGACACCACCTGCCAATGTTACAAAGAACCAGGGACAAAAGAGGCCATTCTCAGAAAATTGAAAATTTTCCTAACAATGCAACCTGGCTTCTTGCCTTTTTCTATCAAATTGATCTAAATGGCTAAGCTCTTATTCCTTTCATTACTCTTTTCCTAATATGTCTTCTAAATGGGAGGCACAAAAGGAATAAGTGGTATCTATCTCAGGGTTGATATTAGTGACGAAGTCTAAGTGGAAAGTGAAACTTTATTACTCTTATACTCTAATAACTTTGTTTTGTCCTTAGCTCTCTCTCTTATAGTAGCACAACCATAAGATCAAGTAGCTGATGCTTCCAGATTTTAAGCCAAAACCACAAAGTGGTTGGCAAGAATAAAATTATGACCCAAAAGGGATTTAACTTACATGGCATATATACTCCAAAGGAGAAATCAAGATGGAGCCAAATGAAAGCCAAGTTCACCATCTTTCAGGTGACTTTGGTGCTCTAGGCAGCCAAACAAATTCAAAATTTTGTCTATAATTATAATTACAATGGCAGTATAATTAAGCTTTTAGAGAGTATTCACTTTGTGTTGTCTGGAGTATTACAACTATGGCACATTTGACCCTTTCTAAAATTTTAATTTCAGCTGACCATCCAAAGGTATAATGTACATGGGACTAATTTTTTTTTTCAGGGTACATAATTTAGGAAGTCAGAAATATAAAAGATTCAAGATGAAAAACAGTAATCCCATTCTCTACCTTGCTTCTCACTAATTTTTGTTTCTTAGAGGTAACTGTCTTCAATCTTATAGTTGTTGCCTCTATTTTTAAAAATATATTTTTATTGCTTTCAGAGAAGAGAGGGAGAGAGAGATAAAAACATCAGTGATAAAAATCATTGATCAGCTGCCTCCTGCATACCCCCTACTGGGAACTGAGCCAGCAACCCAGGCATATGCCCTGACCAGGAATCAAACATTGACCTCCTCATTCATAGGTCAATACTCAACCACTGAGCCACACCAGCCAGGCTTCTATTTTCTTTAAAATATATTTTATTTATTTTTTACAGAGAGGAAGGGAGAGGGATAGAAAGTCAGAAACATCGATGAGAAAGAGACATTGACAAGCCGCCTCCTGCACACCTCCTACTGGGGATGTGCTCGCAACCAATGTACACGCCCCTGACCAGAATGGAACCTGGGACCCTTTAGTCCGCAGACCAATGCTTTACCACTGAGCCAAACTGGTGTCAGCGAGGCTTCTGCTTTTAAGAATCCTGATTTCTAAGGATTATTCTCATATGTATATTTCTTGATTTTTGAGTTTTAGGCGCTATCAATTAACTTCTTACCATGAGAAATAATGACATCCCACCTACACACCCTCTTCCCTTCCTCTCATTCTAACAACAATTTTTAGTTGTTACTATTTAATTAACTTTATTATAACCTGGTGACTATTGTTCCTAGTTCAGCAATGTGAAATAGCATGACTTTTTCTTTCATGTTGCTTTTATGTATCTATTATGAATACATTCATGAGTTCTCCAAAAGAACTAAAAAATTCCAGTAGTTAAATATGTCATGAAAAGAACAAGAGAATTCTCAAGAAGAGCTAAATGAATGAAGACAAGCAATTTATCAGATATAGAGGTCAGAGTAATGATTATAAGGATGCTCAACAGCATGAAAAAGGAAAGGAAATCACAAAAAAGAACTGGTCAGAAATGAAGAATGGAATATCTGAAATGAAGAATACACTGGGGAAGATGGCATAATGGGGTAGGGGGGTCGTAATACTATCAACAATAAAAGATATATTAAAAAAAGAATACACCATAAGGAATAAACAGTAGGTAGAATGAAGCAGGGGACTGAATTAAAGATTTGGAAGACAAGTAGGAAAAAAAAACACCTAATCATGCCTGGCCAGTGCAGCTCAGTGGTTGAGCGATGATTTATGAACCAGAGAGGTCATGGTTCAATTTTCGGTCAGGGCATATACCCAGGTTGCAGGCTTGATCCCCAATGTAGGGCATGCAGGAAGTGGCCTATCAATGATTCTCTTTCATCACTGATGTTTCTCTCTCTCTCTCTCTCTCCCTTTCCCTTCTTGGAAATCAATAAATATATATTAAAAATAAAAAGACACCTAATCAGAGCAGCAACAACAACAAAAAAGAGGGATAGTTTAAGAAACCTCTGGGACAACATGAAGCATAACAACATCTGCCTCATAGAGGTACCAGAAAAAGAAGAGAGAGCAAGAGATTGAGAACTTATTTGAAGAACTTCCCTAACTCAGTGAAGGAAGAAGACACACAAGTTCAGGAAACACAAAGAGTCCCAAACAAGAGGCCCACATCAATACACAACATAATTAAAATGATGGTAAAGACAAAGAGAGAATCTTCAAAGCTGTAAGAGAAAGACAATTAATTACCTATGTTCAGTGTAGCATTATTCACAAGTAGCCAATATAATATTTGGAAGGTAAAGTTTTGAGGTCTTGCATGTCTAAAAATGTCTGTATCTTACTCATACATTCAATGAATAGTTTGGCTGAGTATAGAATTCTATGTTGGAAAGAATTGTCTCCA